AGCCTTAGCCCCTGAGACTTTCCAAAAAAAGTTTAGCTTTGTGGTTTGCCTTCTAGGGGAATGTGCTGGCTTGCGCTAGTCTTTTGTGAGCGGTTTGCCTGCGTGTGAGGCTGATCCGAGCTACTGCTGGTGGGGATACCACGATTTCGCTTGCCTGTGAGTTGGGAGCCTTGCTGGCAGTTCAAGAAAGACCCTTCCCACAAACATGCCTAGGCTAGTACCCCTGCAAGATATAGATAGAAGACCTCGATCTTTTTTCCTCTATAGACATGACTTGACCTAATTAAGGTGAAATCTATGCCTCTACCACCCTATCTGGATATCCCTCGCGTCCGCTGCGAGAAGCCGAGTTTCATTTTAGGGTAGAGGCTGCTGGAGGAAGCCTACAATGTGACTTGGAATGGACGATGATACCTGCGGTTGATCCCGAAGATGAGATGCACCTAGAGCCCTGGCCCATGCTCTTGCCAAGCAAAATGGAACCCTGGAAAGAATGAGTGACATGTTCTTTGCCCTAATTCCTGAATAATTTTCTATATAGGATTCCCTGGCTCTCCCAACAATCGAAGTTCCCAGGCGGCGGCGCTCATTGATGATGGTTGGCTCCAGCTGATGGCGCCTATGGATCACTTGGAAGAGTATTGGGAAACAATGCTCAAGGATTATCCAGATCACTCGTTGGCAAGTAATCCGGCTTTGTGGAAAAGCTCCATTCCTATTGTTCTATGGGGTGATGAGGGCACAGTGAAAAACTCTTCCTGGATGATAAGTTCGTGGCAGCTTGGTAAGGAAACGACATTTGAAAAACAACTGGGAAGCCTGAAGTTCAGCGGTTGGGGCCTGTGGGGTTACGGGACATGTTTATGTGGGCGTTCCAAGGGTTTTATGTTATCTTTGGAGGGGTCTTGTTTTGCTTGTGGTCTTCTAAGGGTATTTATGTTAACTTTGGAGTTTTCTTATTTTGCTTGGCACTACGGATGGCTAGCAGGTGGGTCTCTCAAGTATACGATTGGACGGTCTCCAAAGTTCCTAGTACATATGCTTACTTAGACAGGACAGGTCTTGCGTTTGTGGAAAGTTAAGGATGTCGGACCTCAGCCTTTGCGAGAGTGACAGCCGCGCCTCTAGATGCCCAATGTTTTCAATGCCTGTGGGTTCTTACTATATGGAAGACAAGGTCAACGTTGCGCTTCAAATGCTTTATGATCGCCTTGTGGTGGATTTCAATCGGATGGCGACTGAAGGTGTTTCCACAAGCCATGGTGTTTCTGGGATGACATATAAGACTTTCCCTTACCCTATAGACAAACCATAAAATATCATAGATGCACCCCTCCTGTACACTAATTTTGTCCAGCTTGTAGATTTTTTGCAAGCCACCTTAGCTCATACGCATTGTACTACTTGAGCCCCACCAGCGATGAACATTCATATAGCGCACACTGCCCCGCCCTGAAACCCTATAAGGGCCGAAATCATGCTGACCTTCAATCTCCCAAGTCTAATTTCAATCCTATATCCCATACACCCTCATTCCCATAAACCCATTCTGAGTAAGGTGTTCCATTTCATTGTGGTGGCTGTGAAGGGGGACCTGAAGTATATGAAGCAGGCATTCAATCTAGTACGTTCGCCTGGTTCGG